ATACTGTTTATTGCTGTTTTAAAAATTTTTTTTTTTTTTTTTTTTTTTTTTTTTCCCAGCACCTGAACGTGGAACAAGCCTATTCCTTTAATTTTAAAAAGCTTACAAAGCCTTTGGTGAGGCTAATCCCAAACGGGCATAAACCAGCATAGCCCTATTCATATATATATATATATATATATATATACAGTGGACCTGTGCTGATTTGTACTAGCTGAGAAATTAATCCCTTATGTCTAACATTTATTCACAAAAATACAGTAGGTATCACAAAAAACGACATAAAAATAGCTTCTGTCCAGCACAGCCCCTCAATATTGCACTCATCTGAAACAGTGAATAGAGAATACTTTTTTGTTTGTTTGTTTGTTGGTTTTTTTTTTTGTTTTTTCCTGACAGCAGTGTAAAATAAGATTCTTGAGTCTTTTGGGTAAACATAAATTAAGAACATACCTTCGTTTATTCTACATTTAGTAGTGTTTTTTGGGGGGGGTGAAAAATCCAAAGGTAAGGTCTAATGTCTTCTTCAGCTGTTTATTTTTAAAGCAACTGCTAGAAATACTCAGGGTTTTTCTTTCTAGACTAGAAGTGTGTCCACTGGAGATGTTTAAACTCCCACTGATGAAAGGAAATCTAAGTACAGGGTCTCTGTGTGAATCCCCAGGGAAGGTGCGGGGGGATGTTATCTTCATAACTCAGTTGCAGGGGTATGTAGTGCCATAGTTTCTCTAAGCTTGAAACATATAACTGGGTTGAGTCATGACATGAAGCAGCTCTGTGCTCTTCCCAAGGACGGTGGCCCTGCAGAGGGCAGGTGGCAGCCAGCACCCTGGCTCAGCAGCATGGGAAGTACTTCATTTTCAGTCTTGCTGTGACTGCTGAGAGAAGCACAAGTCAAGCAGCTAACTCCCAACAGCTGGTGTGATTTGTTAAGTGCCACTCTCAGTAGTGGATGGCTTTGTCTTGCTTGCTTTCAGGAAAAATTCATGCATCATGTTAACACTTTGGCGCAACATAGAAATGAAAAGAATTCTCTTCTCCTTATGTGTCTTACAGAAGTGTAAGTGTATTAGGACATGAATACCTGGCCTATATGCCCAGAGAAAGTAATTTGCACTAGTGCCCTGTCCTTGTACAGATTAATCCTGACCTCTGTTTCACAGGATCCCAGGGACTAAGCTGTGGATCAAACCATGTGCCTCTTCCATCTGCAGGCCTGCTCCTAGATCCTAGGAGCAAAGCCCTGCCTTTGGTTTTTTAACCACTTCTCAACAATATCTTAATCCTGTGTGCTTGGCAAAACAGTTAATTAGTATCCTAAAACCAAAAAAGGAAAGGTATTATAGTTACTACAACACAGCAAAGCCTAATCTATAAAATTTTTAATATTACACAGGGCTTTAGCCTGCACTTTTTCCTGGTACTGCCCCATGGTAGCATGAGTGCAGAATCTGGCCTCACTGTATTCAAGGAGTCTACAAAGTGCTTCTAAGTTACAAAGTGGTTTCTCAGTAATTTTCAAAGGTAACAGATCTCAGTTGTCAGTGAATGTGTACTTATTGTGTATATGCCTTTTAATTTAATTTTCCATTAAAATAGTAAAATTACCTGATGAGCTTTAGAGTTATGATTTGCCACAGCTTTTACTCACTCAGTTTACATTACAAGTCTGGGAAATTTTAGTTCTTGAAACCTATCCCAACAAGATGAATGTTCAAACTTTAAAAACATATCTTTTCAAATCCTGATTTTTTTCTAAATTTGAATTTACTTCAATTATAAGTTTCATTATAGCCTGTTGTATTCTTTCCTTACTTGTCCAAAGAACTGAAGCCTTTCATTTACAGATTGTAGATATGTACCTGCACCAACAGACACAAGGCCCAGCGCTACAGCTTCCACCTGGGCTCTCTCCCATTGAAATCAACATGAGATTTTTCTGAACAGAAGCACAGTACTGGATCACCATACTACAATACGCTGTAAAGGATACTTGTGTAGGATTTCCCTTGCTATCTCTGCTAAAAACAAGTGTGGCAGATCCTACCCTCAGCAATAGTTTTTTAAAATTACTGCTTTCAATGGGGCTGTTCAGGTGTGTCAGAAAAGGCAGACTTCCAAAATCCTAAGCATACCTCAACTCATTATAAATACAGATTATTCACACAGGCAGTGGAGTAAAGATTTTCCTGCTCTAAACTGCAGAGAGGTTGCATTGCTCTGAATCCTGATATTAATATGGGGCAGAGTAGACAGGGTCTGTTCCCAGTGAAGAATTGCCCTTCTCCCAAGGGCACCAAGGACCTCTGCTCTGCAACTCCAAAATATGCACCAGTATGCCTCACGCGTTGCCAAGTGGAAGGAAAAGTGCAGAGGCCAAGGGCACAAAGCTGTGTAAGACTGTTTCTATTACAAACTTCCCTCAAAAAGCAGAAGTCTTAGGCAAACTATGTGATTGTTAGGTGTCTGTGCTGCGTCCTGAGCTAGAAAGGGCATTTAAGGAACAAGAGACCTCCTTAGTTAGCAAAATATGAGCTGCCTAAAGCTTGAATGCACATTTAGCGCAAACCTGCATGTGCACTGAAAGCACAGGTTCAGTAAAATTCAGCAAAATTCACTCCATGGCCCATGTACAGCACAGAAAAATGAGAAAGTCTTCAGTTTCCCTGTAAAAGTTTAAGATGCAAAACAGTTGCAAGGCAGAACATAATCTTGACAAAGGGCAGCCAGCAGAGAGAAATGACTAAGCTCGATTTTGTCTTTTCTGGGATGGTTTTCTTCCCATTAACTTCTGTTTCTCTGGAATGTTTTCACTAAGCCACACCTTGGCTAAAATTCTCTTGCATATGCGAAAATCTACTGTCTTAGCTATGCAATGTCTTAAAGAAATCTAGTTCTTCCCTACAACCATCTTTAAAAATGGCTATAATAACACCTTGTTGTCTTCCCATACTGTATTCTGAGTTATGCTCAAAAATGACATTACAAAAGGTCTTAGCATACTATCTTTTCCAGAAAGATTTACTGGAACTTTTGTCAAATAGAAAGAAAGTAATCTTAAGAAAAAAATTACTATTAAGAGTGTTTTTCTAGGATAGATGATTGCCATTAGTGGATCACTTAACTTGGTGTAATAATGACATTTCTGCTCTGTGAATATGGTATGATTGTAGCTACAGGACAGGTTATCACAAAGGCTGTATTTTGTATTTATGCACTGCATCTAAATCTTAAGAAATTTCCACCATTTCTTAAAGGAAGCATAAAATTTCAATGGTCTTTTTAGTGCCTGCACTCTGCTTTGAATCTGAAAAACTAAAAAAAGTGGATAACTAGCAAGACACTACAGCATATAATATTGAAAATATAATAATCAGATACTTTACTGTACTTTTACAATTTGACTAAGTGCATCATAGACCATTTACAATGCATTGGACCATGTGACTATCTCTGATAGAAATACATCTTATGTATAAAGCAAATATGATTAAAACTCATACATAGTGTTATCAGGCAGTTAGTGGTTTACACCAATGCTATGAGACAACGGGGCCAAATTCTTCCTGGGTATAATTGAGATTCTCATTTATGTTGAAGTGACTCCAGCCCACCTCTTGATTTTGATTTGATTTGGATTAGAAAGATGGATCCTTATCTAATATGTTTTAACAGTAAAACCTCACCTGACAGCCAGAGTTGTTCTGTGAAATGTGGACAGAGCTCAAACTGCAGTTCTTCTGGAGCGTAGTGTCTTGCGTTGTAATATTTTCAGGCCCTGTGGGTAGATAGATGAAATGCTAGTATTGCTAACTGTGGTCTTTCAGCTCTACACTTTGCAAGGTAACATTGTGTTGCACACAAAAGTTAAAAATAAATTTAAAAAAAATATTGTTGTAATAAACCGCTGCCTAGCTCTTAACTTGCAGTAAAAGCAGCTACTCCAGCAAAATTGCAAGACACATCACCCCTATAAGACTGTAGATGGAATTGCTAGTTTGGAGAAAATATTGACAGATCCCAGAACACATTTTTCTTCTTCTTTAGATTTCAGTGGATTTCAGCCCAGGCTTTCTCACTCGAATCTGCAATGCGATGACCGCAATTGCCTTTAGACACCCTCTTGACCTGCAGTTTCCATTATTGGCTGTATTATTCTGAACCAAAAGTTTCCAAGTTTTCATCTAGTTCCTGGTGAAGGGAGTGGTGCAAGAGGATATTTTTGCCTTATTGTGTGTGTGAGGGTCATAATGCCAGGGCTTGCTTCTGGACATTTGACAGCAAGCAGGAATTTGCTGGTGATTTACAGAAAAAGCAAGGCAGGGCTTAATCCTCACTAGCTTCTGGGATGACAGATACCATAAAAGCTGTTGACTCCATTCTCTAATATCTGTCCAGGTATACAGGGGAGAGTGTTATTATCACTGAAAGTTTGTAGTTAAATGCAGTTAGCTGCATTTTCTGTGAAATGGGAAGAGTGTAGCACTGCTCCATATTTAACAGGATCACTGCCAAAAAATATACTGATAAGATTTATAATAACCAAAGAATAGAAAAAACCAAAATTTCTTTGTTGCAAGGAGCAAAAAAAGGGTCAAGTTTAACCATTTCTTTTTCCTATTTCTCCAGAGATACACCTCATTAAATCATGCACAGAGCCAGACATGCACACAGGCACACACAAAATAGTGATTCAACAGCAATGAATTGCATAGAACTGTAAATACAGAAAAAGTGACTGTGCTATGTTACAAATCCATAAAAATTATTTAATTCATTAAGAAGACTTTGTGAAATTTCTAAACTGTTAAGAACCCTTTATAGCAAAACAGAATATTTGTGTTTGCTAATTTATATAAGTATCCATCATACAGTATACTGGATACAAATTATTATATTAAGAACAATCTTTCCATTTGCTGATCAATATTCACACACAACTCC